CTGTTCACCTGATAAAGGGCCTCCCTGTCCTTCAAAGCCTCTTCTGAGAAGCGGCACCGGCAGCAGGTCTCCAGTGTGTGTAGTGGCCATCACCAGCCCAGCACTGCTCACAACAAGCAGTTTCCGAGTCCCTGTTCCTACCAAGAGCCCTGAGGGTGTGGCGGTGTCCCAGTGCCCAGCACAGAACTTGTGCAGAGGGAAGGTCAGTGAGCATCCCTTAACGGTGAGGTCAGATCTGTCCCAGGGGCCGGCAGCCAGGATGGCCCACAGAAGCCGGCCTTTCCCTTGCCCCCAGGACTGGACCACATGAAGTTTCACCTGGTTCTATCAGGCTTTGCTTCTAGGCAGTCCAGGTGCAGGGAAGAGCCACCAGGACCACGGGCTGCCACATAAGTGGCCCTTGTCAGAAATAGCAGGTGGTGGGGCCTAAATGGCAATATGGACCCAAAGGGCAGAAAGAGAGAAGGAAGAAAAAAAACACAGAGAGAAAAAATTAGGCAGAAAGAAACCTACATAGAAAGTCATGGAAAGCTCCAGGGAAAATAAAAGAGAAAGTGAGCAATAGAGAGAGTCTGAAGAGAGACACCAAAGGAGAGAGACAGACAGAAGTGACAGGTAGAGAGAGAGCACAAGCCAGAGCATGAGGTAGAGAGAGACACAGGGTAGGAAAGGACTGAAAAAAACACACAACTAACAAAGAGAGCACAAGCCAGAGGACGAGGGAGAAGGAAGGAAGAGAAGTGGGGAGAAGGAAAAGGGAGAAGCAATGGCCCCAAGATAGTAGCTAACTCATCCTGAAAGGCAATCATCACAGGTGGATGACAATTTCACCACAAAATGTCACTCTGGTCCCCTGAGGGCGATGGCCTCTTCTTGCCATGCCTGTCACCTCCATCCCTGGTTTGGGGGGATGTGGCTAGACAAGGCAAGTCCTAATCCCTTTTCTCCACTTCCCTCTACCTTCCCCAACCCTCTCCTCACCTATAAAGTTACTAAATGAAGACATATAAGAGCCCTGACCAGTGTGGCTCAGTTGTTTGGGCATCATCCCCACATACCAAAAGGTGGTGGGTTCAATTCCCAGTCAAGGCACATACCCACATCAATGTTTTTCTTTTCCCCCTCCCCCCACCACCTCTCTGCTTCTTCTCTCTCCATCTCTCTCATAAGTCAATTTTTAAAAATTATTAAATAAAAAAACAATATGAAAGAAACTGGAAACATCACTTTGGATGGTAGGGGCGGAGGGAGGGAAGGGGAGACAGAGACAGTGTCTAAAGACCAAGTCCAAAACATGCAGGAGACAGAGCTGAGCCGAAGCACAGGCATCACAAGCGCCAGATGGGTTACCAGCAAGTCATCCATCTCCTCCAAGTCTCAGCTCCTTCAGGTGCAAAAACCACCTGGAGCTTCATGAGAGTGTTCAAAGATTAAATGAGTTACATAAGCATGAGAGCAACACCTTGTTCAAGCACTCAGTAGGTGCTTCATAAAAGGTCACTGGATTTACTTATTTTTTAAAATATATTTTAATGACTTTTTTTTTTTTTTTTTTTACAGAGAGGAAGGGAGAAGGATAGAGAGCTAGAAACATCGATGAGAGAGAAACATCGATCAGCTGCCCCCTGCACACCTCCTATTGGGGGTGTGCCCACAACCAAGGCACATGCCCTTGACCGGAATCAAACCTGAAATCCTTCAGTCTGCAGGCCAATGCTCTATCCAATGAGCCAAACAGGTTAGGGCAGTGGTCGGCAAACTCATTAGTCAACAAAGCTGCAAATCGCAGCTTGCGAGCCACAGTTTGCTGACCACTGAATTAGGGCAATGGTCACTGTATTTAAACTGCAGAATGAGTTACAAAACATCCTCTTTATTAGTTATGGGAGAAGTTTCAGTCCTTTCCTAGCCTGTATCTCCCCTAAACCTCACAGGCACTGGAGTATAGACTCTCACCCCATTTTACAGAAGAGAAAACTGAGAGCTTTTAGGTGGTAGCCCAATGCTCAAGACAGTTTAGAAAATCAGGTCCTCCATGCTCACCCCCACCTTTTCAACTACACTAGCTGCAGGCAGCATCCATGGTAAAGCCCACACAAGAGTAACAGGAAATGCATTATGTTCCTATAAGCAGTAGCCAAGCCTCTACAGGCACAGAGATGGACGAAGGCTCCCTGGGGAGATGGACAACAGTGTGACCGCTGCTGACAAGGACAGGAGCGGTGGGAGGGCACTCCACCCACCTGAGTTCAGTGGCCTACTCTTTGCAAGCACTGCTCTAGGCCCTGGCGAGACCCGTGATCAAAAAATTACTAAGTAATGACAAGTGCTCAAATGGAAATGCAACACAAATGAACTGGGTGGGCAGGGAATGCCTCTCTGAGGGTGACAGTTAAGCAGACACTGGATCCGCCATGCAAAGGTGAGCTGGAGAAGCCCAGCAAGCCATACAAAGACCCTACCAAGCAGACAAGCTTACCATGCCCACAGGACAGGAAAGTCAGGATGGCCGAGGCACAGTGAGGGAAGCGGACAGGGGTACAGAGGATGAGGACCAACATCACAGCAGCCTCAGGATAGGACAGGAAAATGATGGGGGGCTTGAAGCAGAGAAGTGCTGTGGTATGGTTTACATTTTAAATCATACTGACACCGGCTGCTGGGGACATAAGGGATGACAGAGAGATGAGGATGGCAGCAGGGAGACCAATGAGGCAACTGCCATAGCTACCAGGAGAGAGGAGCCGGGAGGCACACACCGGGTGATGCTGGTGGAGGCCCCATGACACTGGAAGGTGGGCGCTGCACGGGAAGAGGCAGCCAGAGCAGGGAGAAGGGACCACTGCAGAGAGCAGCCCCAGAGAACCAGGAGCAGGCACTGCAGAATGCTGCTGTGAGGGCACTGAAATGAAGATGGCGAGGTCTGGCCACACAGAGGCCCGGGGAAACCGGACAAGGGCTGTCTATGGGCAGGGGAGAGCAAGACTGAAAAAGAGGGGAAAAGACTGCCAACCGAGGCAACTCCTTGAAGAAGTGCAACCCTCCGCAGAAGCAGAGAAATGGAGGAATACCAGGAGGGAGGAAGGGAGGGTCAGGAAAAGATGCTGCTGTGTAGGTTCTGGAGCATATGTGAATGCTGATGGGAATGTCCCCAGTCGAGGGTGAGATTCACACTGCAGAAAAGGTAACTGCAGAGGTAAAGTCTGAAACAAGGGGAAGGGGAAGGGGAAAGGTTAACAAGGATGGTTTCCCCTTTGACGAAGCAGCAGTGTGGAGTGGAGGCCCCAGAAGCTCTCAGTTGACCACTGCTGGTCACACAGCTGCAGTCCTTCCAGCACCCTGCAACAATGGGCAGGCACGGACACACGGTCTCAATCAGGCTTGGGCCTGACAACAAGAGGAGCGGCTGTTTGGAAAGGAGTGATCATAATGATGGACTCTAAGCTGGGTAAGGACGGCAGCCAGGATATGAGGGGCAATGGGCAGCAAAAAGCAGTAAAGCTCTAGCCAGTTTGGCTCAGTGGAAAAAGTGTCCACTCAAGGGTCCCAGGTTTGCTTCCGGTCAAGGACACGTGTCCGGGATGTGGGTTTGACCCTCAGTAGGAGGCTTGAAAGAGGCAGCCAATCAATGATTCTCTCTCATCATTGATGTTTATATCTCTCTCTCCCTCTCTCTTCTTCTCTGAAATCAATAAAAATATATTTTTTTAAAAAGCAGTAGAGTTTATAGATGTGTTTGTAAAGTCATATCACGGTCACCAGCATGTGAGGAATACACTCAACCTGGGGGGGGAAAAAAAAAAAAAAAGACCAAATAATCAGTGATGGGAAACAGAAAAACAGGAAATAGGATGAAAGATGGCTTCAACTCCTAAAATCTCCTTGGAAGAGGTGTGATAAGGTTTCTAATCCATACAGAGATAGAATGCATGAAAAGGAGCCATAGAGACCAAAAATGTGCTCTTACAAACTAAAAAAGTAAAGTGGGAGATAAAGTCAAGGAAGATCTCAGAAAACAGATCAAAAGACAAAGGCAATAAAAAAATTACAAGCCCTAGCCCATTTGACTCAGAGGATAGAATGTCAGCCTACGGAACGAAGGGTCCCAGGTTCGATTCTGGTCAAGGGCACATGCCTGGGTCGTAGGCTCGGTCCAATGTGCAGGAGGCAGCCAATCAATAATTCCCTCTCGAGGGTATGTACGGGAGGGGGGGGGGGGCATTCATATATGTACAAAAATAATAATTTAATTAAAAATACATGTTATAAAAATAATAATAATTCCCTCTCATTATTGATGTTTCTAGTTCTCACTTCCTCTTACTTCCTCTCTGAAATCAATAAAAATTTAAAAAGAAAATTACAAGAGCAATATATAAAGCAAAATATGCAACTAGTGGCTTCCAGATAAAGACAATAGAGAAACTGTATGGGGGAGAATTCCAAGAACTAATACACAAAAATGTCTAGAACTGAAGGTCACAAATCTCCAGAAACAAAGGGGCCACCAAGCAGCCAGTCCAATTAATGGGGAGAAAAATCCATATTAAGGTCCATCACTGGGAATCTCCTGAACACCAGAGATGGAGAGAGTCTAGAAAGTAGAGGGAGGGGCACCCAGAATCTATGAAAAGTATCAGGAATCAGCACAGCATTGGCCTTCTCAACACCCATAAGGGAAGCTCAGAGACACTGGGACACTATCCTCAAAATTATCAAGAAGATCAGCTCTGAAGCTGGACAGCTTGAGTTCAAATCCTGCCCTGCCAATACTAGCTGTGTGGCCATGGCTGTTATTTAACCTCACTGGGTCTCAGTTTCCTCATCTGCAAAATGCATGAAGTAGTAATAGTCTCTACCATCTACTGCAATGCATTGTTGTGAGGAGGAATAAATCCGTGCAAAGCACTTAGAACTGTGCCTGGCACACAGTAATAAAGATTAGTTCTTATTACTCAAATTCTCTGCCAAACTACTAATCAGGAATTAGGTGCTTTTCAGACAAATATCCCTGCTTAACTTGCTTACAACGTCATTGGAAGATGTGCTCCAGCAAATTACAGGGTTAAACCAAGCAAAAGGAAGCACAGCCTTCCTTTCTGAGTGCCCAGCACTCGGACACCTTTCTTCTACTAGAAAAATGTACTTGCCTATTAATTAAGGCAACCCCACTCCACTCCAACACACACACACACACACACACACAAACACACACACACACAGTTGAAAGTACATACAGAAATTGAAAATGTCAGCTCCCTCACATTTTTGCCTTTGCTCCTTATCACCCTATCATGACCACATTGTAAAACAACACTCCTGCTTTTTCTCTATAGTATGTACCATCGCTTATAAACTAACTTATTTGTTTGGAAACGATGTCTTCCCCCTCTAGAACCTAAGCTTCATGAGTGCAGAAGTTTTGAGGGTGTTTTTTTAAAAATATATTTTATTGATTTTTTTTTTTTTACAGGGAGGAAGAGAGAGGGATAGAGAGTTAGAAACATTGATGAGAGAACATTAATCAGCTGCCTCCTGCACACCCCTTGCTGGGGATGTGCCGCAACCAAGGTACATGTCCTTGACCAGAATCGAACCTGGGACCCTCCAGTCCACAGGCCGACACTCTATCCACTGAGCCAAACTGGTTAGCGCAAAGTTTTTGCCTGGTTTCTCATTTTCCCAGCCTCTAGAAAAATGCCTAGCTCATAGCAGGTGCTCAATAAAAAGTTGGTGACTATAAATGGTGATGGAAGGAGACTTTAGAGATGATGAACACATATACAACATACAGAGGGTATATTACAGAATTGTACACCTGAAACCTATATAATTTTATTAACCCATGTCACCCCAATACATTCGATAGAAAGGAAATAAAAAGTTGTTGAAAGACCCCAAGGTGCGAGGTGCGGCCGCGCTGCATACCCCTGGAGCAGTGGGCAGCACAATTACCCCCCTGCCCTTCTGACTCATGCACAGGGAGACCCACGCCCCGCAGCGGCCCTCCGGGCTCCCCTGCAACGCCGGGTAATGCAATCCACGGGGGCGGCGGCGGCGGCAGCGGCAGCAACAACAGCACCGTCCCAATCTAGCGACAACCCGAAAGAGGAAAATGGCTCCGAGCAGGGACCGCCTGCTGCACTTTGGGTTCAAGGCGACAATGTTCTCAAATAGTGATGAAGCTGTAATCAATAAAAAGCTTCCCAAAGAACTCCTATTACGGATATTTTCTTTTCTGGATGTTGTTACCTTATGTCGCTGTGCTCAGGTCTCCAGGGCCTGGAATGTTCTGGCTCTAGATGGCAGTAACTGGCAGTGAATTTCCAGAGGGATTTTGAGGGCCGGGTAGTGGAGAATATTTCAAAAAGATGTGGGGGTTTTTACGAAAGTTAAGTCTTCGTGGGTGTCTTGGAGTAGGAGACAATGCATTAAGGACCTTTGCACAAAACTGTAGGAACATTGAAGTACTAAATTTAAATGGGTGTACAAAGACTACAGACGCTACATGTACTGTACTAGCCTTAGCAAGTTCTGTTCCAAACTCAGGCATCTTGACTTGGCTTCCTGTACATCAATAACAAACATGTCTCTAAAAGCTCTGAGTGAGGGATGTCCACTGTTGGAGCAATTGAACATTTCCTGGTGTGACCAAGTAACCAAGGATGGCATCCAAGCACTAGTGAGAGGCTGTGGGGGTCTGAAAGCCTTATTCTTAAAAGGCTGCACACAGCTAGAAGATGAAGCTCTCAAGTACATAGGTGCACACTGTCCTGAACTGGTGACTTTGAACTTGCAGACCTGCTTGCAAATCACAGATGAAGGTCTCATTACTATATGCAGAGGGTGCCATAAGTTACAGTCCCTCTGTGCCTCCGGCTGCTCCAACATCACAGATGCCATCCTGAATGCTCTTGGTCAGAACTGCCCACGACTTAGAATATTAGAAGTGGCAAGGTGTTCTCAATTAACAGATGTAGGCTTTACCACTCTGGCCAGGAATTGCCATGAGCTTGAAAAGATGGACCTGAAAGAGTGTGTTCAAATAACAGATAGCACCTTAATCCAACTTTCTATACACTGTCCTCGACTTCAAGTACTGAGTCTGTCTCACTGTGAGCTGATCACAGACGATGGAATTCGTCATCTGGGGAATGGGGCCTGTGCTCATGACCAGCTGGAGGTGATTGAACTGGACAACTGCCCACTAATCACAGACGCATCCCTGGAGCACTTGAAGAGCTGTCACAGCCTTGAGCGGATAGAACTCTATGACTGCCAGCAAATCTCACGGGCTGGAATCAAGAGACTCAGGACCCATTTACCTAATATTAAAGTCCACGCCTACTTCGCACCTGTCACTCCACCCCCATCAGTGGGGGGCAGCAGACAGCGGTTCTGCAGATGCTGCATCATCCTATGACAGTGGAGGTGGCAGCGGTGGCAAACTGAGTATTTAATGACACTTCTAGAGTTACCGCGGAGTCTCCAGTGGAAGCGACCCAGTGTTTGGGCAAGGGTTACCACATGAGGCAGCCTCCAGATTCCCAGAGCCACATGTACATACACATACCCATCCACTCTAGTTCTGTGACGGGGACTGAAGATTGTGCTGGCTTTATCAAGTGGATTGATAAAACTTAGCCATTCCTGTTGGACGTTCCCAGAAGAAAATCATAGGCAAGTAGGGGGAAAGGGGTGTTCCAGCAAACCCAGTGTTACTGCTTACTACCGTTTCTTTATTTTATTAAGGGGTTTATTTGGTGATTTTGGAACAGCAACTGCAGTCCTCCAGGGTCAAGGAAAGCATAGAGAAAAATATATGTTGTATCCAGGGACCAGAAAGAAAATTTTGCATTTTATAAATGGTAGCCATACATTGTGAGATGACTATACAGCTTCTGTGCTTCCTCGTTCCCCATGCTCACAAAGAAGGCTCCTCCATTCCCCCTGCTGTTGAGTATTTGGCCCAGTGGTTTCCTAACTGGTCACATTGAAATTACTGTGGTCCAAATGTGATTACTTATTCGCTCAGATTGTCACTGTCTGTAGCACACTTGTGCACCTGTTGTCCTTTGTTGCTCCCTCCTGCATCCTTGCCCCATCTGTCACCTGTTCATAGTCGCTTATTCACACTCAGTTGTTACTCTTATGCTGTTGTTGTGTTTACAGTTTGCATTTTGGATGATTAGTTGGGGTTACCAAACATTTTTAAAAGAGACATTATCGATAAATATTTTTTAATCCTAAAAAAAAAAAGTTGTTGAATAAAGAAAATATATGCTTTCCAGCCTCCCTAGATGCTTTGGCATTGCCCACTAGAAGCATCCATCCCAACTCTAAGAAAATGGCTCAAATCCACTTGTCCAGGTAAAAGGAGAGTCGGTAACAGCCAGAGGCCAGGGGTGGTGATTCTGCTGCCAATGCCGGGCATCCACTTTCGCTGTGTGTTTCGCTGTGGCAGGATTGGAGGTAAGGTTCTAGGCTATGTAGATTCCAAGCCTGGATCTATTCGTAGAAAATTCTGAGAGCCATGCAGCATCCTTGTAATAAAACCTCCTTTCCGCTTAAATTTCCATGTGTGAGTCAGGAAACAGGGTATCCTACACAGGACAGCGTCAGAGAAACATCCCTGCAAGTTGGCTCTGCTTTGGGAATGTCTCCTCCTGGCTTGGTAGGCAGGAGGCATAGAACAAGACAACCTGGTGCATTTCACCCTTTAGAAAACTATGAAGAAGGCATCTGACAAAACTGATGGAATATTCAGGGGAGGGAAGATGGTAATAGACACATAACTATAAAACTATGCAAATTTTAAAAGAAGTGGCATTTAACCCCAGGAAAAACAACAGGTTGTTCTCCCAAGGAAAAGGTGCAATAGTGCGTGACTTGATTCAACACCCTGTTCCAAACATAATCACCTTGCTGAGACAGCAGACCCCAGAGGGGGCTACAGAAACAATTTATCATTACTCCAGCCCCACTCCACCCCGCTGTCTCTTTTAAAACCCAATCTGCAGACCTGCTCCCCTTGAAATCTATGGCAGTTCTTCTAACTCACTGGCTCACTCTTAGATCATAAAACCTCTTTCAGACAGTTTTAGTCCCCGAGAATGGCCTCCGTTTAATCATTAAGATGCCCCACCCCGATTAATAATCTCCCAACGTCATTTACAGTCAAGCTCCTCCCCTCCCCCAGCTCCTGCCCGCCTCAGGCTGGGGACCCTGGGTAGGGTGGAAGGGCAATGTCTCAGTTCCCCTTACCCTGTCTTCTGCAGTGCCCACTAGTGCGGGATCCCAGGAGAGCTTCCTCCGTTGGCAGGGTCCCCCCACCTCACTGCATGCCAGGGTACACCTTCAGGCTCTTTCATCTCTGCCTGGCAGGAAGCCCTCTTGGGCATGGAGGGTTACTCAGAAAACTGCTGCCAGGCAGGTCCTTTGGGACGCAATCCCTGCCCCATCCCAGTGCCTCTCCTCACTCTCCATGGGCCAGGGCTCTGGCCACAGCTTTCGCCTTTGACTCCTTCAGACCTGGATAGTAAGTCCTGCAGCACCGGGGCTGTGCCCAGCTCTCTGCATTGGGCCTCATAGAGCCACTCTCCCGTGAGTGAGGAGAAGGCAGTAGGGGGGCAGCTTTCTTAAAGCTCTCTCCAAGGAAGTTCTCTTTTGGTCTCTCCCACCTCAACCCTTTTACACCCTCAAAGTGTATGCCAGGTTAGGATCTCAAAACCAGAGTTAGTTTAGGCCCCTAAAGTCTCACTTTAGAAGGTAGGATCCAACCCACACTGTCCATACCTATTGTCTTGGGACTCACCCAGAACCAAGAGAGCAAATACCCACAGTGGCATCCTGTTGCACAGTGTAGCCTATGCACTAGCCCAACCAAAGAACTGTGCTACAGCCAGGAAGGCAGGGAGGGCAGTGCGAGTACAATTAGAAGTGGGGTGCAGGTGGGGTGTCAGAGAACTTAATCCTCATCTATTCTAACAAGAAGCCAGGAAGCAGTGAGTACAGCTGATCCAGGAACAGCAGCATCCGTCTTACTCAGAAGCCGTGCAGCACAGTGGTTAAGGCTTTACCACTCACCAGCTGTGTAGCCTTGGACAAGTCACTTTCCTCCTCTGGGTCTGTTTCTCCATTGCAAACTGGGAATAACAGTAACTCCTTCATAGGGTTGTTGAGAGAATCAAGGGAATTACCTTTATAATGGGCTTAGAGCATAATTGGACCATGATAAGCACTATGTTTGGCTATTATTTTTTTATTTTTGCAACTGAGACAGACAGAAAGAAACACTAAATGATTTGAAGGCAGAGCCATCACGTTACACAGGTCCATGATGGGGCGTAAGTTGTGCCCCTGGAGGTGGGCATGCCAGCAGTTCTGGTTGAAGTTTGCTGGCTCTCAGTATGACAATGAAGAAAAGGACTGATGGACACTCTTTAAAGTCTTATAATATTAGGTGATTTTATAACTATGGTTAACAGTATTTTGCTAAAAATAAAAATTTATTTTTAGAATGTTAATAAACAAGTTCCCCAAAATAGTAATAATAGCAAAAAACAAGACTTGGCAAAAGACAAAAAGAAAAGCAATAAAGGAAAGGACAAAGAAAATTTTTGGAAATATAACTATAAAAAAAATTTAGTTTTTGTTTCAAAATCATCTTAAAAGAACTTTTTAAAACAGTAGATTCATAAAAATATCAGCGACAGGCCTTAACCAGTTTGGCTCAGTGAATAGAGCATCAGCCTACAGACCTAGGTTCAATTCAGGTCAAGGGCATGTACCTTGGTTGCAGTGCATGTACCTACTGCAGTGCCCACTAGTGCGAGATCCCAGGAGAGCTTCCTCCGTTGGCAGGGTCCCCCCACCTCACTGCATGCCAGGGTACACCTTCAGGCTCTTTCATCTCTGCCTGGCAGGAAGCCCTCTTGGGCATGGAGGGTTCCTCAGAAAACCACTGCCAGGCAGGTCCTTTGGGACACAACCCCTGCCCCATCCCAGTGTCTCTGGTCACTCTCTCCCTCTCTGTAAAAAATTTAATAAAAATATATTTTAAAAATATATATATCAGCAACAACTATAATGAATAGAGCGTTAATATTCTTAATTGAGCACTTTAAAAGGTGTAAATGTTTAATTTTATAAATAAATATTCAGATCCCAACATAAACACCAACTTGCAAAAGAGGAGCTATGAACTGTAAATCAACACACAATATACATCCAACTACCCTAACAATCAAATAAATGTGAAATGAAATATAACCAGATGTCATTTCCACCTTCGAATTAGGCAATTATTTTGGAAACACTGGTGAAGATGCAGGAAAGTACTAGTAAATTCTCTAAGACTGCCTGCATTTGTGAAAATTTGTGCAATCTTCTAAAGAGCTATTTGGTAATGTGTCAAATGTTACTACCCTTTAACCCAGTAATTTTCATTTCTGGGAATCTATCCTAAGAAAATAATCAGAGATGCAAATAAAGATTACTGCATAACAATAGTCACTGCAGCATTATCTATACTAGAAGAAAGGCTGAAAAATCCTAAGCCGTATGCACAAACAAGTAATATGTATACATATGTGTGTGAGCATAAACAATCGCTGAGAGGCCAGACAAAAACATGAGCATTACTAGTTGCCTCCAGCAATGAGAACTGGGATAGGGGGAAAAGAGAAGAGGAAGGCCTTTTGCATGTGCTCAATTTTGTACCATTTTAATATATAGCCTATTCAAAATAATTTAACAAATTTTACAAAATCTATACTAATAAAAGGGTAATATGTACTAATTAGACTGGACATCTTCCAGACATCTTTCCAGACAAAGCCATGGTGGCAGGGGCTGATGATACTGAGGTGGTTAGGGGCTATCAGGCTGGCATGGGGGAGCAATTAGGGGGCGATCAGGCCAGCAGGGGGAGCAATTAGGGGCATCAGGCTGGCAGACAAAGGTGGTTGGGGCAATCAGGCAGGCAGGCAGGCAAGTGGTTAGGAGCCAGTGGTCACGGATTGTGAGGAGGATGTCCAACTGCCAGTTTAGGCTCGATCCCTGAATTTTGTGCACTGGGCCTCTTGTTTGATATATTTTTGAATGACTACAAAATATATTAATAGCCCTAACTGGTTTGGCTCAGTGGATAGAGCATCGGCCTGCGGACTGAAGGGTCCCAGGTTCGATTCCCGTCAAGGGCATGTACCTTGGTTGTGGGTACATCCCCAGTAGGGGGTGTGCAGGAGGCAGCTGGTCGATGTCTCTCTCATCAATGTTTCTAACTCTCTATTCCTCTCCCTTCCTCTATGTAAAAAATAAATTAAATATATATTTTTAAAAGTATATTAATAACATGGAAAGATTTATTATGTTAGAATGTTAAGTTTAAAAATAAATACACAAGACTTTATATTCAGAAAGATCTCAATAATATAAAAAACATATTAACACAGTATAAATGAAATGAAATATACCAAAATGTAAATGGTGGTCATTACTGGGGGGGTGAAATATGAGCAAATACTATTTCCATCTTTATATGTT